TTTTTTATCAGCGTAAAGGCTGTGATACAGAACGAGATCACCAGCGTCGCGATTTTACATATTTGCAGGAAAATGCATGTTTCCAGACGCTGTGTTGTTGGCCAAACGCTCTGTTATTTGTTGTTTGAGTAATCTACTGTTATTCGATGAGTCTTTTCTAATCCAGATTTCCTCTGTTTTAAACTTACTTATAAATGCCATGTATATTAACTTTTGATGGAGATACAACACTGAGTTTATTTGATATAGACATTGATTATTCTGTCTCAACTGTGTTGTGTTTCCCACTACCAAACAAGGGGATCCTATTTGTAATTGATCGTGTCAATATGTCTTGCTTTATTAATACTGGCAACTGTTTCGGACATATTGCAAACTTAATTCATGAAAAGTCCTTGATTTAACATTCCTTTTCTGCATCGCATAGCAAACTGCTATGAACTAATTGAAATCTCTTTTCCAATAGCTGGATTGAATCCATTTGCTTCCAGAGCCTTTAGTAGCTCATACTACAATATCTTTCTAGTAGAGTTTCTATGTTTATGAATTGTCATAGTTATTTAAAGAATATTTCAGGAATTTTATCATCGTAGCACCTTTTTTTAAGAATTAATTTTCTCCTTTTGAGTTTTCATCACTATTGTTCAGATTAAAAAGAAAAGCGAAACCATTTCCTACCCTGAAAACAAGGAAAGTTATTTCGAAATAAATTTGGCCCTGGAAAATTAACAATTATGGTCTGAATGACATTGAGTCGAGTAAAATGGTAATGATCTGAGTTTTTTACTTGAGAAGACCAAAATAAAATGTATTTATTCAAATAGCATAGTAACTTAACGCATTGTAGACTTCACTCAACCATATCTGCATCATCGCAACCGATTTTTTTAACTTCTTAAACAAAAATTTCAATTTTTGAATGTGAATCCTTCTATTAGGCCTCACCAGAAACCAAGTGGTTAAGACCGTTGAATGCCGGTAATTCGACCCAGCTTTTAAGCCCAAGTTGAACAGACTGGCTGCATGGAAGGTTTTCATTGCTTTTCCCATGATTAACCCGAATACCAGCCAGTTTGCCTTACTAAGTCCTGCGCGAAAGCATCTGCTTATGAAATCCGATTTCATGTTTCTGCAGTCAATTACTATTATTACAATTACTATCTTTAGCTTTTTTCATGTTTCATCTGAATGCAATAAGAAAATCGACATCATTGTAGATGAGTTATTTTTCACTGTGAAAAAGTATCAAGATGACAGTTATCTATTTGGCTTAAGACATTTAGCTTTGTTTTATAGTTTAAGCTAGGAAAACTCTTAAATAAAGCTCAACATAACACAATATTGCATTTTAAACATAAATATTAATCTCATGATAAGGTTTCTTGTGATTTCATTTAAATTACTGTTAATCATTCAATCAATTTGATTCAAATTCAGATTATTAAAAAAATGTATTCAAATTAAAACTTCATTCTTAAGTGACACGAAGGACATGAATTAGAATGTAATACTGATATATACAAAATTAAATTTAACGTAATATGAGACCTATCCAGCCATTCACATCCTCATTTAAAATATTTTAAAGCAGTAAAAATATCCAGCCTCAGGTTAGAAGACCAAAATGGTAAGCCAAACATCTTACTCCTCTACATTATTTATTTAAGTACTTCCGCACATCACCTAAATTTCTGAACTCGAAAAGTGAAATAAATTTTTCTGTAAGATATGCTATCAAGAACAATGATCTCAGAAAAAAATCTCAAACATAATAAACTTCCTATGAACAAGAGGCACTGAGCTAAGTAAAAAGTGAAACTAAAATAACATAGCATTTCCCAAAATCTCACAACATTTACTGTAAGCTCAAACTATGTGCCACAACAAGAATCGAGCCATATAACTAGCAATGAGACTCTTAAGAATGGAATCCTAATTAAAAACGCCTTATTTATCAAATTCTGCCACAAGAACAGATCTGTACAAAATTGTAGCAATCTGCCTCAGAATTGTAACTCAATCATCGCTTCTAACCACAACAGAGTAAAAATACAAACAGAACTGGAACTGTCTTCTTTAGCATGTAAGTGTAGGAGGCACCATCTGTGCATCAGTGTAAAAAAAGTGTTAAGTGATTTTTTTTTCATATCTCATAAACAACTAGCTAAACGGTAGATAGATCTAGCAGCCACCAGAAGAGGCGCAGCCCGCGGAGGTGGATCCACCGAATGCATGCAGCGCCTGTTGGGGCTTCATATGGGCCTCGCGGACTGTAGGTATCTAGATTAGTGTGCTTGACAATACCGATATTTCAAATGGTTAAACAATGAATGTTCATTGTACTTTATGATATCTATACCCACATCGTCTTACTTGCGAAGACGAGAAAAGAAGATGCATATGTGCGAACACTCTTCTCCCAAACAAAATGATCATTGAGATTCACATGATACAGTAGTGGAAAATATAACCTTCTTCCACTCTTAATATAAACTTTTAACATCTATTTCTTGTAATAATAACATCTATTTCTTGTAGTAATAACATATATTTCTTGTAGTAAGGACTCCCTTACACATTTTAACATTAGAAAAGCCTTGGATGACATTCGTCCTAGACCCATCCAGACTTAGATGCCATGCGACGGTATATGTTACACTGAAATTTGAAAATCTTATGAACTAAAGATATACGTACAATATTTTCTGATTCAACATATGTTTCCGCTAGAAATGTTCATAGTAGATAGGAATCTATTAGCAGTAGTTGTAATCCTACTGCAACTCTCATTATTATCTTCTTACCGATCACATATCAATATTTTTCGTATTAACTCTCTTTTAGACATTTGGAGCACGATTCCAAATTCACTCCCGTAAAATGGTCACATTTCTTCTCCTAAATGATTTCTACTAATCCTAAGGTTCACCAAATAAGAACATTTAGAGAATTAATAGTATAATCAAAATTGATTCATCAATGGACAAATGCATTAGCAACTTTCATAGGCCCGAATGCGCACAGGATTTGTTCAAATACTTCCTGCTATGAAGGAGACGAGAAAATGCGCAAAAACGTAGATCTCCTTGCAAAGAGATCATGCATGCCTAATGTAGAACATACGCCTTCAGTGTAGATCAATATACATTGTTAAAATAGCATACAGTTTGAGTAAGCTATCTATTATTCGTTTCACACCGTTAATGGGAAAAAGAACTTGCTTATAGAAGGGTGACTTAAATATTATGATTATGAGCGTTAAAATATATTTGAGCAAAACTTGATTAAATTTTTCACGCAAGACCAACCATTTTGAAATTCTGAAATAACTAAAACCCTTTGTACTATAAAGTGTTTAAAGTATGTGAAATAATCATTTTCACTAAACTTTCAAAAGATAATTCATGGTACCATGCATTAACTTCTTAGTCAAATATGTATGTATAATAAACCTTTTATGTTTGTAATGCTAAAATTAAATAGGTAAATACCTTCAAAACTATAACTCGCTTAACTGTAACCATTCGCATTTGTAACATGGTAAATTTTAGATTCAGAAATTTATTGCTGAACTGTGCACATACTGAATGGAAAACTTACTCTACGCCAAATAATAAGCTGCTGGTCCGCTTTTTACTTCAGGGATTCAGTAAGAAGACTAGCATTTTTTGTCAATATGCCATACGTGTCTCTCAAAATCCCCCACAACAGCAGAGAATTAGCAGCTTCAAAGTAGCTGTCTAGCTCATTCTACAGATTATCACCAGAATTAAGATTTTTTGTCTTAGAGGGCCGTGTGAGAATTACAAACTCACATGGGATTCATTGCTTCGTGAGGTTTCTTCTACACACTTATTCTTCCATTTGAATGATGTAAATGGTTACACACGATCAAACTTACACAAATCAATACCTTTTTCTCTAACATTATCTCCTGGCAACCATGTTTCCAAACAGAATTCTTCAATCTCTGCAACTGTTGATAATTCATAACTTTTATTTGCTTGTCACAAATTTCTGCCAGTTTCATTATTTCTTTCACTAGACTGCTTAATTTCAATTGGCACACTGCGGCTGATACACAAAAATCACACTACACATGGACTCCATTTCCTATAACTTTATTTAATGACACTAATTCTAAATATAAAATAAGCGATGCGAAAATGCGATACAAAATGAGTGACCTATTCTAAAAGGCTGTCACAAACACAATATTCTATCAACCACTAGTCTTGTTGCCACATGCAAAAAAAAATAAATAAATAATAATAAAGAGAAACTTACACACGTTCTAAAACGATAAATCACGAATCGAGTATCTTAAACTTCCAATGGAAGTAGATTCAGCCATTAAATAAATATGTTAGTGAAGCAATCTTAGATTTTATAACACTACTCGCAATACTCACATGAATACCAATATTTCCAATTAATCTTCTGAAAACTTCTGACGATAAATAAAACACACAGTACAGAAAATACGACTATAGTAGAAAATAATTAAAAGAAATCTCTTATGCTATGAAAACTTGTTGTACATACCCCATGCAATAAACTTGTTTGTAACTTTCCTTTAAAAATCTTAATGAAGGAGACTTTGCTTTGCCAAAAGTTTAAAGTCCTATTTAAAGAACTAATATTTAAAGAACTAATGAAAACCGGAAATTGTGAAAAAAACATACCTGTCATTTTTAGTTTAAAAATGTGGTTTGATCGCCGAAAGCAAAGGCAGCATATTAAATCCGAGTACCATTTGAAAATAAGTCAAATAATATGCTTTTATATATATTAAGTACTTTAAAATAAACAAATAATTATTTTTAAATTTAAAGAAGGAAAACGATTAATGGGAACAGGAAGATGAAGCGAATTATGCAAAAGATATACAGGTTCTGGTTGTTAAAATAAGAATAAAAAGAGCGGACTGCTAAAAAAAAAATGGGAGTTTGCATGCATAAGTCACAAAAGGATATCACAGTTACAGTTAAAATACTTACTTCAAAAGTAGTATCTTCAAAAGCAGAATGTGGCAAATACCTTAGAATACAATCTACAAGTTGCAGCTCGAATATTATGTGCTTTTTGGTGGCAGCTAAAATTCTTGTCAGATCTTCTTCAGAATGTAGATTGTGGCAATGGATGATGGAGAAGTCATCACCAGTTTCATCGGTCATAGTCTCGCAAGTGCAAGGGTGTATGGTCCGCGGCATCGGGCACGCAGCTTTTGTACACAAACATGATGCGAGAGCCAAAAAAATGGAAAATAGCCAGGCAACCATTTTCAGCTTACTGTTTTGTTATTCACGAGGCAAAAGAGCTGCTGGGAGCTCTCAAGCACACTAAACAGGTGCTTTTTTTTCTACCTATCAGTATTTACTGATAAACAAAATTTGATCGTGTTCCAACGCGGGAGGCAATTTTCTTTTATCAGAATATTGATTAAAAATTTTCTGCCTTGGAGGCATAATGGGTTTGATATTTCATCTGAATAAAATAAAATAAATAAATAAATAAAACATTCTAATGATGACATTGTTGCTGCTGCATCTCCTATTTCTTCCACCCGCTTTCTAGAATATGAATCCTATTTGGTAAGATGAAGATAAATTCTGAAGCGTTGTTTGTCTTAGCTGACATTTTTTTGCCATGTTCTTTCCAAATAAGGATAGCATAGCTGAATAACAGATATATTTCTTAAATGTATGGATTCTTTCAAAGAGATAAAAGTGGCCTCACGCATTGTTTTATTCGTATTTGGTTGACCAAATTTTGGCAAAACATAAACTATTCGTTAACCGACTATTTATTTATTGTTAACTGGCTTGTTTAATGATAATCTGCGTTTTTATTGTACAAATTTATTACAGATATAACATTGAACTGAGTACTGAAAAAAAAAAAAAAAAAAAAAAAAAAAAAAAAAAAAACATGCCCTAAAGCATACTTTATGATTTTCTTCTGAAAGCCTCGTCATATTATGAAACTAAGCCTGTAGATTTTCTCAAATCATAAGTTATTGCAGTTACAAACGGAATGTTTAATAAAGGTTTTAAGCTCAACTTGAAAGTTTTATCACAGTCAAATACTCGATAATATTGTAGAGATATTAGGTATTTCTTTTGGAAGCAGGAAAGATAAAAAATGAGCAATCGTCTTCGCCGGGAATCGAACTATGGACCTCTGGAATATCGGTCCAGCGTGCAGAACCACTACACCACGAAGGCACGCTGAGAAGGCGGGAGAAATACCTTGTAGTCTATTTGAACTACTATTTGAGTTTCCTTCATAAAAGGTAAACGGGTTGATATTAGAAAAGAGATAAAGTGTTACTATTAGGCATTGGTTTGGTTTATTTGATCACGTAAAAGCACTCACGAGCTATTTGCCTAAGGGGGGATGCCTTCGTTGAAGGCTTTCTAAGGGAAACTGGCTCGTATACAACTTACACATTAGGAAAAGAACGAAAATGCTCACGCAATGCAGCCAGCCGGTTCGCCGGGACTTGAATCCCTGTCCGAGCTACCAGTGTACAGCGACTTTACCGCTCGGCGGCTGGTGGGCCCCTGTCAAGCATTGTTCAAATTTCAATTAAATATTGTATGGTGGAATTTCATAATACAGTGTTCTAGAGCATGTATTTATTAACATTGAAACATCTCGTGATAACAGTCCTCAGGAGACCACCATCTCAATACCAAGCATTTCCGAGAATATTATTGTGTAATATTGTTGAACATCATAATATTTCTACTACCTGCACAGAAGACCAAACTTTTCTGGAATAGCGATGTCGTTTTGTGGAGGTTTCACTGTATACCTATAATTATACAGATAAAGATTAAATAACTGCTATTTAACAACGCTCTGTTATTAATTTTGCAAATATATAATGTTCAAATTGATAATCGCTATGTTTGTTTTTATTTAATCTACAACCTTTAAATAAAACCAAGAGTCGCAAACAGTACAACGCAGGTTCATCTGATAAAATACAGGTTAGAATTCTTTACCCTATAACATGGCAGACAGATAAGCATATGCGCATAAAAATATCACATATATTCATTTTTAACATTTCCTTCAGTTTACGTTAAACATACGTAGATCAATATCTAATATATTAAATTACTTAGTAAGATGTGAAATCATAATAAAAAGCATCATTCTAATGTTGACACACAAATATAGTTACATAACTATATTTGCGTATCATCATTAGTAGTTACATAACTATATTTGCGTATATCATTAGAAGTAGCCGATCATCCATTAGAATCATCATTAGTCGATCTCTGATACCATCTAAAATTCCTGCAGCTCGTAATAGTCATATAAAAATTACCTTACTTGACCTAAGTTAGGATTTAAATAAGAGTTACACATGCATTACGTTTCCACAAAGAACAGACGAAGAGGACTTACATTAGCCAACTTCGGGGCTCCAGAAAATCAAAACAATTTATTTGACGCTGAGGAATAGCTCGTCGGAACGCTCCAGTCAGATTCAGACTACAATGATTTGACGTAATCTGTCCTTAATTCTGTCTGTTACTCTTCTTTAAAGTAGATCCGATCTTTCCATCACACTAAATATCAGAACAGTCTCCTTGTAAAACTCCGTAAGTAGAAACAGATCTGCTTCGTAGCAATCAGACGCCGACGCTCTAAGTCGCCTAAAGCAGGAATTTAGATGTCCTTCTTCATCAGGAATGAATTCTTCATCTAAATACCAGTCATGAACATCTTTCTATTGATCACCATTCAAGAAGTCAAAAATTCAGTATCTGGTTGGCCCAACATGTTGTAGACAGGACATCACACTCTGATCGTCGAATATTGTAAACAGTCGGAAGCCGCCAATACTCAAAGACGCTAAATCTGGAATTTGCATTGAATTTAAACGCTAAATCTATAATTACACACTGGACTTTACACATTTATCAGATGAATCTGGAATTTGCACGTTTAGTTTTCCCGTCATCCTCATTAAATAACAGTTTCGAACAATATTTAAACGTGCACTAAATAAACATCCAATTTGCCTAAACCATCATACATGAGCTGGTATAACTTCAGTAAAATTTCCTCCATTTTGCATAGTCTTGGGGATCATCATGGCACTATTCCTGCCTCTGTTCTCCATTATCTACACACTTTTCTATCAGTTATCAGCGCATTCTTATTTTCGGCATTCTCCCCCCCACACACACATACACACCTAAAACTGTCAAAACATCTCATTTCGTCTTTTCCTTCCTCGTCCTCTCTCCTTTTCGACTCACTATTTAAGTTACAACTTAATTATTATCTAAAACTGACTTCTGACGCAGCCATACTTCACATGATCTCATGATGGTCTACGAAAATCTCACTTCTTTTTACGAAATCAATTACAAGCGTCCAGGCATTAAAATTAGGCCTATTACATTGCCGCAATGAAGCAAAAAAACGAAACTAATTTATTTTATCAAACTCTCTGTATAGCAGAAAACCCAGTGCAATCGATAAAGCATCTCTTAAAAATAATAGGCATCTTAGACAGTTTGTCTACATCTTGTTTCTTTATCATCCCAAAAGCTATTTAACGATAAAATGGTCCTGTGCTTAACAAGAAAAAACGTTTTTCCCAGAGTTATTGCTTATCTTGTCTCTAACAAGGAATTTGGTAACTTTATGTTTCAACTTTCCCTAACTTTAGTTTCTAGACTTTTCAACAATTTATGCGTAATGAGTCATTTTTTTCAAATCTAAATCCGTTCCTCTTAGCGAATCCCTCACGGTCCATAAACGATTTCACTCATTAAGGCGACAGGAAGCGTTTTTTTCTCGCTAACAAGGGAAAGCAACTTTTATTTCGATTTATCTGTTTATCTATCCCCGACGCCTGAAACTCATTCGTCCAAAAATACTCGTCTTTCTTATCATGGAAATGAAAAATACAGTTAGAATTATTTCTGAAGTCAGAACGCTATATAACAACAATATTTATTCAAAAAATTATTAAAATCTAAATTACATAGATTAATTAATTAATCGCGAAATGTGAAATGCTTATTTTCCTTAAAATTCCTGTTTCGTAGAACATTTCTTAAGGAGAACTAATTTGAACAAATTCTTCTGAAAAAAATTAAGTACATTCCTATTCACATCTGAAGCTTATATTCCATTGATTTGTTTTTATTAAGCTTCATATTATGAACAGTTATGTAAATAACCATTTTATCATACAGAAGATGTTAAAAATTTTTTGTCACATCAGTCTCAGAATCATCTTTGCCTTCATAGAAAGCTTTTCAGCAAAGAGTTCAAGTGGTGCTCAAGACATAAAATGCTCTCCTTTTTTTTTAATTAAATGTTTTAAATATGAAACTAAATTAAACACTTTCATGTACTTGAAAATAAATTTGAAGGCACATGAAAAGCGGATGAAAATCAATTTGTATAAATAAAGCTCTTTGCGATGGCAGGCGATTGTCACTATTCTAGAGTCGTATAAGTTGCCATGCGATTGATTTGATCAGGCATTACCATTGTTTTCCTTTTACATGTTTGTTTCCTTTATTAATTGTTAATAAAGATACTGAACAGTGAATATGATACGAGGTCGTATAGATATGCCATACTCATATTTTAAAATTCTACCTTATTTATTACGGGTAACATTTGTTCTTTATACCACAAGAAGCACTTTTTGCATTTTTTGGGCCCATAACTAAAACTAAATATTAAAGGGTTATAATAAAAATTTACATGTTTTGCTAGCGCTCGACAGTGCTCAAAAACAGCTAATACACTACCTAGAGCCACCGAAAAGGCTGTTCTGTGACCTACAAAATATTATGAGAAGATCTTGTAATTTTACGTTTTTCATCATGCTGTCATATTCTACTACATTATACAATTTTTAACGTATTTGTACTTCCAGTAACCTTAATATCAGATAATAGTTTTACTCCTATTTAATACTAGTACTATTATTGCTAAAAATTTTAATACTATTACATTTATTGTTTCATATATTGAATATAACAATTCTGTTAATCATTATATCATTTACATTTAATTATCAATTTTATAATTTTGTATTATTAGTGTCGTAGTTAACTCTGTAGCTTAGTTATCAAGATTTATAGCTGTAATATTTCAGCATTTATAACAATGGTTCAATGTTAATCTCCTTTCCCAAGTCTGTCACTTTTCAATTTACGCTCTATTCACCTCCTTCTCTTAGCACTTACCTTAAATATCTTTTCTTCAATAAATTTATAATACTCCTTTTCTTCTATTAATTATAATACTTACCTAATACTTCTTTTCTCATAAT